ATATTATATTATATTATATTATATTATATTATATTATATTATATTATATTATATTATATTTATTTGTGCCTCTTGGAATCTGTCTCTTCCTCCTTCAAAAAAAGACTATTGTCATTTTAAATCCCAGTTTAAAACTTTTTTTCACTCTCTTCTTCTGAATAGAATCTTGTTCTAAAGATTTGTCATAGCTTCCTTTTGTAAGCCCTACATATTGCCTTTACTGGGGATTGCCACATGTTGATTTGTTTATTTTGATTGTTGATTACAGTTATTTATTGTATTTATGCTGTGCCCTTCTATTGCCATTACCCAATGCATAAGGGCAAATAGCTACAGAAATACATACCATGCAATCAATGTAAATTATGTATGCAAAATGGTGTTGTGTTACAGCTGAGGAGTTCTACTAAATATGTACTCCTTATTTTTAAAAGTGACCTAAATGTTTCTCCTGGCAGTAGCTAATCTTTATCTTTTTTCTTAGTTATAAACGTCTGCTTTAAAATAGCGGTAAGGTGAACACAAATAATCCCACTCTCCAGAAGAGTATAAAGAGTATAAATTTCCACCACTCCTTCCACTGTACTGGCAAGAGCTAATGTCATCTGCATCTGTGGAGAACTTTGAACTGTGGATGAACTTGTAGCACAAACAGATCTCATGTTAAGGAATATGGTTTTGGTGCATACTGTGTTTAAAGACCTAAGGATATTCAAGATAAAAGAACTTCCTCTTTATTAAAATCCTTCCTTAAGACTTATTATATCTGTGATTACTACAGAATGTATCATTATTAATCATTTTTCAATAACTTGTTAACTGAACCATCTAGATCTGCAGATGCCTAAATTAAGTAACCACAGAACTTCACTGATGTAACCCTTGTCCTTACCCTCTCCATCTACTCCCTTCTGTGTCTTATCCCCACATACCCTCTCATATCTAAAATTAGATTGCCATTAGCTCTTTGAGGTAAGGACCTTGGGTGAAAACTCCCACTGACTTCAGTGGAGCCAGGATTTCATCCCTTGTCTTTTAAATTATTTAGAACATTTTTAGGTGCTATAAAATCATCATAATTAATTACTAGGGCTGATATGGCAAACAAGCTCTTGAACCACAACTTTTCTTAGTGGCAACATTTTCCAGCGGATATAACTAATGCAAGAGCTTCCTAATACCATGTAAAGAGGCAAAGATAGTGAATGCGGGCCATTTGAAAGTGTAGAAGAAAACTTATCTAAATATTCTAACAACTATATTACATTAGCTGTAGAAAATGTAGCAACTTTTCTCACAAAATGAAGCCAGAATCCACAATGAAGAACTCAAATGTGAACTAATAGTAAAAATAAAATAAAAATAAAAATCAGTTTTTAATGGTTTTCTTGCAAGAAATACAATATTTATAAGTTACGGGACTTTAAGAAAATGTTGGTCTCAGTTGTGTTAGCTATCTAGCTCTAATGACTTTCTGTAGTTTTGGCTAAGGCTTGTTTCTTATTTGATTTGTGAGAAGTGCCTTTTTAAACTAACATCTTTGATAATTTTTTGAATAATATAATGGATTTACAGTAGATGAAAGTTCTATTTCTATTTTATGAGTTTCTGTATATGACAATATTGTTTTCTGTGGTATTTTTAGTAAAATGTATTATACTATGCTGCAGTTTTGTCATGAAAATGTATATATGTAATGATTTTCTTCTTTAGGAATTCAATGTCAAAAAGAAGTGTTAATGTAACAGAAACATCACTGATGTTCACAGACCTAGAAAATAACAATGAATACAAAGTTTATATAACAACAAGTACCAGATTTGGGGATGGAAACATAAAAAGTAGCATTATAAGCTTCAGAACTTCTGAAGGAGGTAAGCTTATGTATAGTAATAAATCATACACATAATCTATAGTTACATCCATAAGTTTGTGTCAACCTTATTTAAATGTATAAAATAACTTAGGCGAAAGCTGCGATTCCAATGGGGGTCTAATGTCTCTTCATCAAACAGAGCACTACATTTTCCTGCAAGACATTTAAATTTAAAAGTCTTTTTATATTGCTCTTTGAAATGAAGTAAAAAGAGGAGAGTTTGGTTTTATTGCCCTTTGTTCTATCAAGCTGTGAAATAAGGTCCTAAGAAGGAAAGCCCTGACAGTTTTAGTGTGTCTCTCTCACAAACACAGGTGTAAAGTGGTTGTAGTCTGAAAGCAGTTTTATAAACATGGCATTGTGGGATTCCAAGTTGATTTGATCCCAATGAATTTCATATACTTCAGAAGTGAAAGGTCTTTTTCTAGGAGGCTACACTGTACATTTAGCTTTGAAATTCAAGTTAGTTCCTTTCTGGCTCTGATGTCACCAACAATAACAATTCTGCCACTGAAACTTAGGTCCCTATCCTTCAATTAGCTGTGTGCATGTTTCTCTGCACCTTTGTGGAGCCTTAGTGGCCAAAGTGTGGTTCTGAATAAGCACATGGATTTTTCTGCACATAGTCATTTGTAGGATCAGTATCTTAGTCAATAATTCTGTGAATGATGGTGTGAGCTAGAATAGAATCTAACTCGCAGTTCCCTAGCTGTATTGGCTCTGCAATGCTAATGGTAGTAAAAAGTGTGAAAAACTTATTTTAGTTAATGAAACACGCATAAAGGACTCTGTATACACATGAAACACATTTGTTAAGAAGATTACATGCATGCATAACGCTTTGTGCATATGCATGAATTGGGATTTATATTTGCATAAAACAGTAAGTACACGCACTTACACATCTCAAGTTGCATAGGTTCACTGAGTACATAAACTTGGATTTGTGCATGTAAATGTATGCATGTCTTTGGGTATGTCTACACTACGAGGGTAGTTCGATTTCACTTAAATCGAATATGTGGAATCGATATTACAAAGTCAAACGTGTGTGTCCACACTAAGGACAGTAATTCGACTTTGTGAGTCCACACTAACGGGGCAAGCGTCGACATTGGAAGCGGTGCACTGTGGGCAGCTATCCCACAGTTCCCGCAGTCCCCGCTGCCCATTGGAATTGTGGGTCGAGCCGCCAATGCCTTCTGGGTAAAAAAAATGTGTCGAGGGTGCTTTTGGGTAACTGTCGTCATCCGTCCGTCACTCTCGCCCTCCCTCCCTGAAAGCGCCGGCGGGAAATCAGTTCGCGCACTTTTCTGGTCAGTGACAGCACGGACGCCACAGCACTGCGAACATGGAGCCCGCTGCGACCATCGCTGCAGTTGTGGCCGTTCTCAACACCTCGCAGCTTCTCATCCACCTTTCCCAGAGGCAGATACAGAGAAATCAGGCGAGGGGGCTACGGCAGCGGGGTGAGGATCTGAAGTCTGAGAGTAGCACAGACCTGTCAGAAACCACGAGATCCAGCGCCGAGGACATCACGGTGGCAATGGGTTATGTGGATGTTGTGGAACGGCGATTCTGGGCCCGGGAAACAAGCACGGACTGGTGGGACCGCATAGTGCTGCAGGTCTGGGATGAATCCCAGTGGCTGTGAAACTTTCGCATGCGGAAGGGGACTTTCCTGGAACTTTGTGAGTTGCTGTCCCCTGCCCTGAAGCGCAATGACACCCGGATGCGAGCAGCCCTGACTGTCCAGAAGCGAGTGGCCATAGCCCTCTGGAAGCTTGCAACGCCGGACAGCTACCGGTCAGTCGCGAACCACTTTGGCGTGGGCAAATCTACCGTGGGGGTTGTTGTCATGCAAGTAGCCAACGCAATCGTTGAGCTACTGCTCTCAAAGGTAGTGACCCTGGGAAACGTGGAGGTCATCATAGATGGCTTCGCCGCGATGGGATTCGCAAACTGCGGTGGGGCTATAGATGGAACTCACATCCCTATCCTGGGACCGGACCACCAGGCCAGCCAGTACATCAACCGAAAGGGCTACTTTTCTATGGTGCTGCAAGCACTGGTGGACCATAGGGGACGTTTTACCAACATCAACGTCGGATGGCCGGGCAAGGTTCATGACACTCGCGTGTTCAGGAACTCAGGTCTGTTTAGACGGCTGCAGGAAGGTATTTACTTCCCGGACCACAAAATAACTCTTGGGGATGTGGAGATGCCTACAGTGATCCTCGGGGACCCAGCCTACCCGCTAATGCCCTGGCTCATGAAGCCCTATACTGGTGCCCTGGACACTGAAAAAGAACTCTTCAACTACCGGCTGAGCAAGTGCAGAATGGTGGTGGAGTGTGCTTTTGGCCGTCTCAAGGGGAGATGGAGAAGCTTACTGACTTGCTGTGATCTCAGCGAAACCAATATCCCCATTGTTATTGCAGCTTGCTGTGTGCTCCACAATCTCTGTGAGAGCAAGGGGGAGACCTTTATGGCGGGGTGGGAGGTTGAGGCAAATAGCCTGGCTTCTGATTACGCACAGCCAGACAGCCGGGCGATTAGAAGAGCCCAGCGGGACGCGCTGTGCATCCGGGAGGCTTTGAAAGCTAGGTTCCTCAGTGAGCAGGGTAACCTGTGACTATTAACTTTGTTTAAAGAGAAGCTGAACCTGCCCCCGTTTCTTTACCCAGTTTATGTTGACTATCCTCTCCAGCTACATACCCCCTTCACCCCCTTCCCCAAAAATAAAATCAGTTCTATTTTCTTAATGAACACCGTTGTCTTTATTACTGTTTTCGCGGGAATGTTTTAAACCTGGGACGCAGACTGTGGTGGGGGGCGGGTGTAGTGTACTGATGCAAATGATGCCTCTAAACTCCAGGAATGACAGGCTCCGCAGTGGTGGACTGGTTGTTTCAACGGAGCCTGCCAGCCGTCCTGGGCGGGACTGCATGTATGTGTCGGCTATGTGACTTTCTGGCAGGGGGAGGAGGGTTACCGATCCCCTGCTGCGTGGCTCTGTGATCCAGGATAAGGACCGCTGCATAAGATCTGTAACTGCCCTCCCCCGCCAGAAAGTCACAGAGCAACCCCCCCCCCCACAGAACATGAAAACCACCTCCCAGACTGACCAGGGTAACTAGTAACTGCACTGTGTATGTGCCCTGCTGCTGGACCTGCCCCCGCCTCTGTACCCTGCTAAAGGTGACTGTCCTGTCCAATTACCAACCACCTTCCCCCCCTTCACACAGACTCTCCTCCAAAAGAAAATGATGGAAACAGTAATTAACAGAAACGTATATTTTATTAGTAACTACACATGAAACGGGGGGGTGAAACTTGGACGGGGGCTTGTGTGAGGTGGGTAGGAAAGGACTTTTCAAATTTTGGGGAATGAGAGCCTTCTAGTGCTAGAGCAGTCTGCAGGGGTGGAGTGAAACTTTTCACGGCCCCTGCCGCCCCTCCTTCTTTGGACTTTGGGTGAGGGGGGTATGGGACTTGGTGGCGGGGGAGGGTGGTTACAGATACACTGCAGCGGGGCTCTCTCCTCCTGCCTCCCGTCCTGCAGAACATCCACAAGGCGCCGGAGCGTGTCCGTTTGCTCCCTCATCAGTCCAAGCAGCGTTTGAGTCGCCTGCTGGTCTTCCTGACGTCACCTCTCCTCCCGTTCCATGTTTGCTCTGTGCATTTGGGACAAATTCTCCCTCCACTGTGTCTGCTGGGCTGCCTGGGCTCGGGAGCAGCACATTAGTTCTGAGAACATGTCCTCCCGCGTCTTCTTCTTCCTCCGCCTAATCTGCGCTAGCCTCTGGGAGTGTGATGCCAGGCTGGGTTGGGAGACAGTCACAGATGTGGCTGTGGGAATGGGAAAAAGGGAGTGAATTCCTCAGAAAGATAAATGTAGTTGTGAACAAAGAACATAGTCTTTCTCTGTGAACAAGACCATGCACTGCACCTATCACATGCGCACTCAGGACAAGGTCGAATTTTCGGCCCTCGCCTTCAGTGCCTGTGGTCTTGCAGTGGCGATCTGAGAAGCGGGGCAGGACACCGGAATTTCTGTAGCGGATAAACATGGTAAGCCGTAGACTTGTGGCTGCTTAAAACTTTAATAGTAGCACTGGCCTCCTTTCACATTGAAAGCAATGCCAGTCTCTGCTGCCAGCAATCAGGCAAGCATGAACTCTGCCCCTGTCCCACCCCCTCGCGGCTGTCCCAGGGAAAGATCCCTGTATGCTGCCCCTCTCCCGCCTCCACCGCGTGGCTGTAAAGCAGTCCCAATACTAACATTGCCCTATCTAATTCAAAGCAGGGCATCATGAGCGACATCACCCTGATGAGGATCTCGGACAGCGAAAAGGAACGGATGCTTAGGGAAAGCCTGCAAAAACCAGGACCGTATGCCGCCATGCTCTGCAGGGCAATGATCCCTGAGTACTTGATTGTCTCCTGGCGCGGAAACGTTTCGTACCACGGATGACCCAATAAGGTCGCTCTCCCCAGGAACCTGATGAACAGGCTTGGACATTACCTCCAGGAGAGCTTCGTTGAGATCTCCCATGAGGATTTCATCTCTATCCCCGGACATATAGACCGGATTTTGGTGTAGCTGCACTGGCAGGGACTAAAGAGTGGAGCGTCTTGGGCAGCAGAATCATGAAAAAACGGACATTGTTAGATTTTTTTTAAATAGTTGGGACTAAATAGTTAAGCGCCTAGGGCAAAGAAATCATGAAAAACCCATTGTTAATATTATAAATATTCCAGTTCTGTTAAAAATAAATGTTTAGATGTTTAAAACACTTACTGCTTGATCCTTCCCCTGATTCTGTGTCCGGGGTAATGGCTGGGGACGGTTGGTAGGGGATCTCTGTAAGGGTGATGAAGAGCTCCTGGCTGTCGGGGAAATCAGCGGTGCAAGCGCTGTCGACTGCCTCATCCTCCTCATCTCCTTCCTCATCTTCCACGTCCGCTAACATGTCCGAGGAACCGGCTGCGGACAATATCCCATCCTCAGAGTCCACGGTCACGGGTGGGGTAGTGGTGGCGGCTGCACCTAGGATGGAATGCAGTGCCTGGTAGAAACGGGATGTGTGGGGCTGGGATCCGGAGCGTCCGTTTGCCTCTTTGGTTTTTTGGTAGCCTTGTCTCAGCTCCTTGATTTTCACGCGGCACTGCGTTGCATCCCGGCTGTATCCTCTCTCTGCCATGGCTTTAGAGATCTTCTCATATATCTTTGCATTCCTTCTTTTGGAGCGCAACTTGGAAAGCACGGACTCATCGCCCCACACAGCGATGAGATCCAAGACTTCCTGATCAGTCCATGCTGGGGCCCTCTTTCTATTCTGGGATTGCACGGTCACCTCTGCTGGAGAGCTCTGCATCGTTGCCAGTGCTGCTGAGCTCGCCATGATGTCCAAACAGGAAATGCGATTCAAACTGCCCAGACAGGAAAAGGAATTCAAATTTTCCCAGGGCTTTTCCTGTGTGACTGGTCAGAGCATCCGAGCTCGGACTGCTGTCCAGAGCGTCAACAGAGTGGTGCACTGTGGGATAGCTCCCGGAGCTATTAGCGTCGATTTCCATCCACACCTAGCCTAATTCGATATGGCCATTTCGAATTTAGCGCTACTCCTCTCGTTGGGGAGGAGTACAGAAGTCGAATTTAAGAGAGCTCTATGTCGAACTAATTTGCTTCGTGGTGTGGATGGGTGCAGGGTTAATTCGATGTAACGGCGCTAAATTCGACATAAACGCCTAGTGTAGACCAGGCCTTTGACTCTCTCTGAAAAATGAATGTCTTTGAAAATCAGGGCTTTCAAAGTGTATTGGTAGCCATTAGTTCAATTGTGCCTTTCCCACCTCCTCCAGAAACAGGATCTATGCTTTAATATAACATTTTTTTCAAGTCAATAAAGTCTAAATCTTGGGTAATAAAAAGCACAAAAACTTATGTTACATAAACTAAATCTTAATCTTATTCCAGCACCAAGTGATCCACCAAAAGATGTCATGTACAGAAACCTCACTGCATCATCAATAATGGTTTTCTGGTCCCCTCCTCAAAGGCCTAATGGGATTATACAATATTATTCAGTTTATTACAAAAATAATTCAGGAATTTTTATGAAGGTAAGTTTCTTTTTATATCATTTTTGTAGATTTTAGTACAGAAAAATGCATTTACTTTTCTTTGAATCTTTAATGTATCATAAAAGATTAAACCAACTGTACAGTAAATGTCATATTCTTTTTTCACTCCGACCTCATTACCAGATAATTTTGATTTTTAGCATATTATTAAAGGGATAAGTGCATTAGCCTAACCCTCACCTTGAAATTATATTTGTGGTATCCTGCAATTTCAAAATTCCTATGCATCTCAAGGAGCATTTATGCTATTAAGCATGAAGGGACTAATGCATACCAAAAAAAGAGAGTAAATTTCATGTAGAATAAATGATCTCGTGTTCTAGGCTGCAAAGTGAAATGATATGTGCCTAGTGAAATGACATTCTGATATGTTTTTAATGTATTTTTTGAGCAATAATGAAAATCAGAAGATAGTGTTGCCATAGGGAAGGATAGAATACTGCCTCATAGTCTGTTACTCCTTAGTAAATGTCTCTGCAGAAAACAGTTTTTCTTTCTAACATAATTATAACATATTATTTTAAAACATAGAAGACAAATGAGGTTAGTCTACACTGTTTTAAATCATGGAAGAAATGCATTTGTTTATCTGTTATGAATCTGGGCATTAGGATGTGGTTTATTGTGTAGGTACTTCTCATACTCATCTTAATTTTATGCATGATATATATTAACTCGGGCTGTCGATTAATCACAGTTAAAAAAATTAATCACGATTAATTGTATTGTTAAACAGTAGAATACAAATTGAAATTTTTTAAATATTTTGATGGTTTTCTACATTTTCAAATATATCTATTTCAATTACAACACAGAATACAAAGTGTACAGTGCTCACTTTATATTATTTTTTATTACAAATATTTGCACTGTAAAAATGATAAACAAAAGAAATAGTATTTTTCAATTCACTTCATACAAGTACTGTAGTGCAATCTCTTTATCATGAAAGTGCAACTTACAAATGTATGTTTTTTTGTTACATAACTGCACTCAAAAATAAAACAATGTAAAACTTTAGAGCCTACAAGTCCACACAGTCCTACTTCTTGTTCAGCCAATCGCTAAGAGAAACAAGTTTGTTTACATTTATGGGAGATAATGCTGCCCACTTCTTAATTACAATGTCACCTGAAAGTGAGAACAGGCGTTCACATGGCACGGTTGTAGCTGGCGTCACAAGATATTTATGTGCCAGATGTGCTAAAGATTCATATGCCTCTTCATGCTTCGGCCATCATTCCAGAGGACATGCTTCCATGCTGATGACGCTTCTTAAAAAAATAATGCGTTAATTAAATTTGTGATTGAACTCCTTGGGGGAGAATTGTATGTCTCCTGCTCTGTTTTACCTGCATTCTGCAATATATTTCACGTTGTAGCTGTCTCGGAGGATGACCCAGCACATGTTGTTTGTTTTAAGAACACTTTCACTGCAAATTTGACAAAATGCAAAGAAGATACCAATGTGAAATTTCTAAAGATGACTACAGCATTCGACCCAAGTTTAAGAACCTGAAGTGCCTTCCAAAATCTGAGAGGGATGAGGTGTGGAGAATGCTTTCAGAAGTCTTAAAAGATCAACACTCTGATGCAGAAACTACAGAACCCAAACCACCAAAAAAGAAAATCAACCTTCTGCTGGTGGCATCTGACTCAGATGATGAAAATGAAAATGCGTCGGTCTGCACTGCTTTGGATCGTTATTGAGCAGAACCCGTTATCTGCATGGACGCATGTCCTCTGGAATGGTGGTTGAAGCATGAAGGGACATATGAATCTTTAGTGCATCTGGCATATAAATATCTTGCAACACCAGCTACAACAGTGCCATGCAAACGCCTGTTCTCACTTTCAGGTGACATTGTAAACAAGAAGCAGGCAGCATTATCTTCTGCAAATGTAAACAAACTCGTTTGTCTGAGCGATTGGTTGAACAAGAAGTAGGACTGAATGGACTTGTAGGCTCTAAAGTTTTACATTGTTTTGTTTTTGAATGCGTTTTTTTTTTTACAGAATTCTACATTTGTAAGTTTAACTTTCATGATAAAGAGATTGCACTACAGTACTTGTATTAGGTGAATTGAAAAATACTATTTCTTTTGTTTTTTTACACTGCAAATATATGTAATAAAAATAAATATAAAGTGAGCATTGTACATTTTGTATTCTGTGTTGTAACTGAAATCAATATATTTGAAAATGTAAAAAAACATCCAAAATATTTAAATAAATGGAATTCTATTATTGTTTAATCAGGATTAATTTTTTTAATCGCGCAATTGATCGCTATTAATTTTTTTAATCGCTTGACAGCCCTGATATTAACTATTTATTTATTTATTTATTTATTTGTTTTATTTGTATAACCATAGTGCTGAGTAGCTCTATTCATGAACCAGGATATGAATTTTTAATTGCTTATATCCATATCATTCAAGAGTGTCTATAATTTATTTATCAAGGGGTAGCCGTGTTAGTCTGTATCCACAAAAACAACAAGGAGTCTGGTGGCACCTTAAAGACTAACAGATTTATTTGGGCATAAGCTTTCGTGGGTACAAAACCTCACTTCTTCAAATGCATCTGAAGAAGTGAGGTTTTTTACCCACGAAAACTTTTACCCAAATAAATCTGTTAGTCTTTAAGGTGCCCCTGGACTCCTTGTTGTTTTTATAATTGATTTGTTCTTTATTTTATTATATTATATATTACTATATGCAAATATAATTCAAGAAAATATAATTTTCCTTAACAAATTTTTGGTTAAAAGCTTTGTGTTTGTGGAAGAAAATGAAGAAATGTAAGGTTGTGAAGACAGCAAAGTACAAAACAAAAAATCTGATGTATGTGGCATAATTTTACAGTTAGCGCTTACTGGATTTAGATATTTATTTTCCTGAAGATATATGTTTACATGTCACTCTGCAAATGTAGGCCCTGCTCCTGCAATCTGCTCTGTGCTGGCCAATCTTTGCACTCATGTTTAGCCCCATTGAAATTGGTGGGGTTCTGCATGAGTGTAAGTTTCTGCCCACGTAGATCTGATTGCAGAATGGGAGCCATAGAGAAGACTCATTTCCTGCCCCAAGGAACACACAATGTAATAATTAGCATGTGAGTTAGCTAGAAGTACCTTGGTCGCACAGTCTGTTAGGAGTAAAATTAGACCTATTAGTTGGGTTTGAGTTTATGGGTGCATGCCTATCTGAAATATGACTGTAAGCATACACATCAAATCATCCTTTCTGCTCCTCTTATCTGCTAGTCCTGCTAGCAGGCCAGGGTAAGCATAAGTATCTTATTCTCTTTGAGAATAGGGTGAATGGGCGATGGCACAATGTGAAGCTATGACCTCAGAGAAACCCAGACTTCAAATTGGCATTTAATGTCAGTTACAGCCTTCATTTTGAAGGACTGTTTAACCTTTTCATCTTGAAAAAGTTTGGTTTTAAATGTTTTTAATCTGTTACTTTTTTCCTTGGCACATTTTGCATGTCCACGTTTCATTTTTCATAGCGGTGCTTACTGCATGCCCAGCTAACTGATCATAACTTCTAATGTGGTTTGCTAAAAGCGCGTACCTTGATGCAGCCATTTTTCTGAATCCATTTTATTCTATGATGATCAGTACCAGTCCAGATTCCATACACCACTTTTTATTTCTGTTTAAACAGCTTTCATGAATTTTTACATAATAAAAATTCAGAAATAAAACACAAACACACAATGAGAGATGTCATTCCACCATATAATTTCTACATCTTACAATTTTAGGAACTTTGTTGGTTGCTTCATATATTCTTTACATGGCACCTCGTGTAGAAAAAGAAATCTATCCATATACTTTATTCTACAAACCATCTCTTATGTGGTTGAAAACAAGTACACATAGCTGTTTATTGATTCTCCTCTACAAAAAGTGGGCAATGTTCTATCACTAGCTCTAGCTTTTTAGTTCTACTTTGGTTAATGGTAATTGCTAAAAGTTTGTAATGCCCTTATCTCCATATTTGATCATTGATTTAGAAGCAAGCCACAATTAAGATAACGATGGTGTATTCATTTTTCTTTTGCTAAAGATACTTTTTGTTTAAATGATTCAAAAGCTATGCCAGAGAGTTTAGAAGCCCAGCTAACCTGGGCTTTTCACATAGGGAGAGCCTTTCTTTACCTTGAAAATTTATCCTACGACTTCACAATTACCTGCCTTTACCAGTTAGGAAACACTTCTTGTGTGTTCTTTTCCATGTTCTTAGAAATGAACTGAATGCCTGTCCTGTTTTTTACTAAATTCTGTATTTCTTTAATCAGAGCTGGCAATAGCTTTCTTAGGGCAGACCTGCAAAACAGTTTTTTTACCTCCAAAATATTACCTATTCCTGCACACCAGTGTTACATATGCACAGAGCTGACCCGAGGTTTGCAGGGAGGATTAGAGAGATGATTATTTGGAATATACCTCAAATTTAACTGACTATTTTTACATAAGTATGTGCTGGGATAGGGAAATCTTTGGTCTCAGTTTCCTACCGCAGAAATGGTGCTCAGCTGCTTGTTCCTTTCAACCCTAGTGATCAGTTTATACTTACAAGGAAAAGTACTAGAAACCCAGAGCCAGATTGTCAGATGGCATAAATGGATAGAGCCACATTGATGGAAGTGAAGCTATGCCAGTATACACCAGCAGAGGATCTGACCCATGCTTGTCTTAAGGAAAGTTTTCAGAGTAGCAGCCGTGTTAGTCTGTATCCGCAAAAAGAACAGGAGTACTTGTGGCACCTTAGAGACATCCGAAGAAGTGGGTTGTAGCCCACGAAAGCTTATGCTCTAATAAATTTGTTAGTCTCTAAGGTGCCACAAGTACTCCTGTTCTTTTTAAGGAAAGTTGAGATTCTCCTTTACATGTGTAGCTCCTCTGAAAGCTAGGAGTCCTGTGGCTGTTGGCTTCATCAGGTCCAAAACTCAGCTCTGCCTTA